TATATACATATACATATATATACATATATATACATATATATAGAAATATATATATATATATATATATACATGTGTGTGTGTGTGTGTGTGTGTGCATATGCTGTACATGTCACCGGAAGAACGCTACAGCCTAAATATGCTTATGTATGCTTACATGTATATCTCGTGGTAGTCACTAAAACTGTGCTAGGCTGCGAGTGAGAGCGTACTGCCACCCCTCAACTGTGTGTGCTTGTGATATTGTGTCGAGTGTACAAGTAAGGTGTTCTCCATCTGGCTGATTGGAGTACTCACTCCACAGCACACGTTTAGAATACTAACATTGTTTTCAGTTGGCAATGGATTACTATATATTCGCTGCTTCAGCCGATAAGGACTGCAGACGTACTATGGATTGGTAGCCAACATACCATACGTTTATCAAATTGTACAGGACTGCGGATGTATGGATTGATAGCCAAAATATAAAACGCGGCCCATTAAATCACATAGGACAAACACGGCCCATTCTATCAAAGTGGACAGGACTGCGGATGTATGGATTGATAGCCAACATATAAATCGGCCCATTAAATCACATAGGACAAACACGGCCCATTTTATCAAATTGGACAGGACTGCGGATGTATGGATTGATAGCCAACATAAAAAACGCAGCCCATTATATCACTAGGACAAACACGGCCCATTTTATCAAATTGGACAGGACTGCGGATGTATGGATTGATAGCCAACATACCAAACGCGGTCCATAAATCAAATAGGTCAACTATTAGAGTACACATCGAACTGCACGGCTGATACTGGTATAGCAATAGAATGCGATGCATGGCCGATATCGAAACAAGTTCACACATCAGATGTTTTAGTAGGAAGAAATGTCTGATAAGGCATCGGCGAAGCTATGTATAGAGATAGAGACAGCGTTATGTACATCTAAATGGATAGTATAGCATACACATGATGCCAGTATACAAGACCGACATGCCTGTGCGAATTCTATGCCATTTTTTAATACTTTTTGCCATGGCATGACCATACCTTAGAATCGACCATGTTGAAAATCATCCAGGGAACGAGTTGCAAATTGGAATTGAAGCACCAAAATGGAGGCTGAAATGAGGTTCAAAAATTAGGAATAGGAATTACTGCCATTTCCTTTTACAATCGTATGTAACCCTGAAAGTCGCTTGTATGCTGGCTGGAAAGTATTGAGTCACTACCTACACAGATGCAATTTGATCTGAACGTCTTGGTCCTTTTGAATGTCTCTGCATGCATGTAAATCCGTAAATGCTCAAGAAGAACGTTTTACACTCATTCTCTCGGGAATAATGCCAGCCCACATAAACAAACAAAAAACAAATTTATAATTCACTTTCAGTCTGTAATATGCAAGTAATCGGATGTACATTTAAATTTAGATTTGCGCACATACATTATCATATACAAAACACTAAATTTTCCCACATATACTTTATCATATTTAGTTAAAACTTCAAAATTGCACACATCTACTATATCATATACAGTCAACCCCCTAAAATCAGATATTGATAGTTCTGAATTATGCTATCGTGTGAATGGATAGATGCCAATATAACAAACAGAAATATGAGCAGAATACAGATGGTCATTTATATTAGCATAAATGGTATATATATGAAAGGACATCAATAGAACCATCGATCCAAATACACATACATCTGCGACAATATCAATACTAAACATGTCAAGTATTGATTTTGAAAAGAGTGTGCACGATGCAAAAGTAAGAATACTAGCAAACGACAACCATTCTGCTCACATATAAAAACAATAGAACGATAGAAAGGTGTGCATACATTAACCATTAGAGGAAAATCAATGAAAATGAACGCATGGATATATATATATATATATATATGTATAAATATATATATATTTATCTATATATACATATATACATACATACATATATATATATATATAACGAAAAAACATGGGTGCAAATATTCCTATGATATACATAGAATAAATATTCATTTATATATATATATATATATACACACACACACACGCACACACACACACACACACACACACACATATATATATATATATAATAAACTAATATAATATATATAC